TTTTTCTTAACTCAAAAGATAAGTATAATAGGTATGCAGGTACATTAAACAAATATAAAATTATTGAAATAAAACAAAAAATCTTACGCAAAATCAACAAATTTAAGAAGATTTCTATATGCACTGAAAATTTAATTTTTTAAAAGCTTATTAAAAAAAAATTCTTAATATTTTCTTTTATTTTTTTTTTAAATTTTATTTTTCATTTAAATTTTTTTTCAAAAATTTATTTTAAGTTAATTCAATTAATTTTTTTGTAATAATTTACGTAATATTTATATAAAATTTTCAAAATTTTAAAATGAAAAAATAATTAAAAAAAAAAATTTCCAAAAAGAAAAAATTTTTTAATTTTTTTTTTTATTTGAACTCGCAACTTTTCTATTAATAACTTTAAACTTTTTTTTAATATTAAAAATATTATTTTTAATAGATAATAAACATACTTATAAATAAATAAATAAGAATAAATAATTATATGGGCAATATGTATGTGTGTTTAATAAAAATAGAAAAAAAAAACAAAAATTATAAAAAATAGTAAAAAAAAAATTAATGAATATTTGAATAAGTTTTAACTAAAAAATAAAACATTTCTTTGGTTATTTTCAATTTTTCGTGACCACAACAGTGAAAAAATCGCGAAATACTGAATGAAAAAGAAAATTTTTCTATTTCCACCCGTCATATCATTATATATATAGAGTGGATTAGTTTTCCTTCTCCCGCACATTTTCAAAGAGTATGTTTTTGTACTATACTTTTGGTCAAAATGTATTTTTTTAACAATATGTAGTGATGTAAATAAGTGTTAATTTATTAAAGAGTATTTTGTTTTAGTTCTTAGTTTTGATACAAATTTCTAAATAGGAAAATTACAATAAATGGACAGCATGGACTTTTCGGTGTTTTGCCTTTGAGGGGTTGAAAATCACTATAAATGCAGGAAATTAGATGGAAGGGGGGAGGGGGCCAATTTATGCAACAACAAGACGAACAGGAACGGTGCAAGAACGAGGGATCTGTTAGCATTGAGCAGGGGAATCTCAGTAATGGGGTGCTCTGTGGATGGCCCGCTCTAATGCGAAAGGCAAGACGCTTTTTGGGAAGATATCGGTTTGATGGGTTGGAGAAGATTTTGGGATTGGTTAAATGGATTGGAGGATATCGCTCGTGTGTGCTCTCCTGAAATTTGTCAAGGGATTTGGTTGGGTTTATCGGTTATAAGAGTGTAATGGAAGGATTTTGATGGTCCTTCTTTGAGGGTGTGTTCTCCCCTCTCTAACTAGATAATATTAATGTACTTATATCTTTTCTTTTCTTTTATTTTTAAATAGAATTTTTTAAAAAATTATATCTGTTCAAATATTTCCTATTTGACAGATTTACAATGACATAGATCATAGTTATTATACATACATAACTAAAATATTTATAATTAATTTAATTTTTTAACATTTTCATGAAACTTTCTTAATATTTAAAATATTTTTCACGTACTACAATGAAATAAAATTTCGTATAGTGTTACAACTCTGTTTGAATTCAAATATACGTTATTAAATTTAAATATAATACATTGTAGATGTCGCAGTTGTCGTCTTTTCTGTTACCTGCTATATGAATAGTCAATCTATCACCGTGAGTTTTTAAAATGATTATAAGCTTTTCAGAGGGAATAATATATTTTAAAAACAAGAATAGAGAGTAAGACATTCGACACAATACAATCTGTATTCGTATGTACAATTTATATTATTTGTACTCACGTTTATATATAATATTTTTTGTTCTAGCCTGAAAATTAGTGATATTGGAATATAGCGTAAAAAATTATTATGGTGTTTTTGAGACATATATGATATTTGTAGGAAGCAATAATAAATTTATCGGTATATATAATATCGTATTTTTATTTTGATAGTACATTAATGGAATAAAAAATTATGTTTTTGTACATTCTTCATGTGTTTAGATGTAATTTATTTTCAATAAATAAAATAAAATTTATTAAATTATGAGTAATTTTAGATTTTGTTGAATCTTCTGATTTCTGTTCTTTATGCAGAAATAATATATATAAAATATTATTCTGTGCTTCCTGTAAGACAATTAATTTTGATTTCAAAATTGTCTTGTAGAAAACACAGGAAAGGAGTATGGCAGGATTTTGGACCTGTATTTAGTACGAAGGTTATTGAGGTATAAAAAGTAATTACTTGATGTTGTACACAGATTTTCGAACGAATAATTATATTGTCGTGTCAAAAAGGGAGGAAAATTCAAATAAGCTGGTCAGTTTTCCTCACAAGTAGAGAAATTTATGAATATTGTAAAGAGATTTATGAAATTTATGAATCTTATTTCATATAAGATTCCGAGATGATTTCTTTGATGTTCTTTCTCTTCTTTAAGTTGTGTCTTTGGCTAGAAAATATTATAAGAGCTGGTTTTAGTTACCCGATGGGTTCCTATTGACACGGGACATAATTTTCGGTATCGAAGGTAAATCAATGCGGCACCATTTCGCGGACTAAAGGATTAAGCAATTAATTTGAGCGTATTATACAATTTTTTTTTCGCCAGTAATAAATTCTAATTTAAACTTATTCCATTTGCATATTACCATATTAATAATTTCAGTTTGCTCTACAATATAGAGCAAAATGTCCCATTTGTTATAAAAAATACTCTAATAATATTTCATTTCATTGAGACATTAATTTTTTTGACCTATCAAAACATTAAAAATATCCTTAAAAGTGTTAGAAATTTGAACCTAAAATGTGCGTGTACGCGAAACTAGCATTCGATATGTGCTTTTGAAGAATGTTACAACTAAATATATATGTATGTATTTTCCATTAAATGTTAAGTTGTATGTGTAAATATAAAGCAACTTTCAAGGTTTTTGTTACTTAATACCTTTTAAATTCATTTAGTAAAAAGCTTATAAGTAATTTCTTTTAACTAAATTTAATCGCATATTATAGAAAATTAGAGGTAAAATTAAAATGGATTATGAATGTTTTGTAAAGGAGCATATTAAATGAAAATGCTCTACTGTTATTAGCTGGATTCTAAGTGAACGGGTTAATCAATTATTAAAAAAGTTAATTTTTTTTTTGCCAAATAGCAAAAATTTTATAGCTCTCAAAACAATTAAAGAGAGCAAATTTAATAAAATTTAATCATATCTTTTGATGTGGGTACCGGGATATTATTGCATAGACGGGAATGAGAGAGCAGATGGTCTCACGTGGAGGCGAGCGACAACTCCTTTCATTGGCCGGATCCATGCTTTGGTGTGCCAAGGAGAATGGTTCTACGCGCCCTAAATAGTTGCTCCAAAATATTTCCTCCAAAATATTTATATCTCTCTTGGGGCCGAGGAAGACGGGAGCTGGCCACATTTGGTCGCCTAGATTTGTGGCTTTTGGTGGGCGTTCTCAAGGGACACTGCCTATTGATAGTTCATCTGAAAATAATGGGTAAGGGAGAGGTCTAACGTCTTTATTTAATCTTTTGCAAATTTTTACAACTGAAAAGACTACAAGCAAAGACTTTAGCTTTTACTGTCATTTCAGAAGTTACGTAATATTTATCATACAGGCGTACATATTACTTACGGATGTACTGTCATACAACATGCATAGAAAACGTTGATTTTAATAAATTAAATCTCGCAAGCTTGACCATATTTATTTTTGTTTGTCACTTTTTCCGTGGGTTGTTCATAGAAACGGAATTCATTGAATGGGAAAAATTTATAGCTTATATATTATATATGTGCATATTTATATGTGTATGTTGAATTTCATTACATAGCATAAAAATTGTAATTTAATTTCACATTAAAACATTAACCAATATGGTAAATAAAATGTTAATTATAAAATTATAACAAAAGCAGAAAAGAAAATAACATTTTTATCAACTGGCAACAATACAAAAAAAAACATAAATCGAACAAAACTGTTAACTATTTACACAACTATTCTGTTCATGATTTAATGCGTTATTAATAGATAACCAACTGTACTATAATAAACTACTGTAAAGCAGAGAGACGATATAAAAAGAACGACAAATAAAAAGGATAAAAATAGTCCTTTTATGTACAAATTAAAAATATCATGAAGGAAATTTATTTTATATCCTTAATATCCTGACGGGTTAAATGTGTACATACATATACAAAAATGTAAGGGATATGAAAAATGCTAAACGAAAAGAAACAAAGTAATCACTGAACAAATGAACAAAAATTTCTGGTCACTTCAAAATAAATTCAATAATTACAAATTGGGTATATAAAGACGAATTGAAAGGAAAGAATCGGGAAATTAAAAAAGAACTCTGAATCGTATAGAAAAAATTAAATTAAAATTGTAACGGTAATGAAAAAAAAATGGAAAAAATTGTTAAAGTTTAATATACACACACAGATACTAACGGACATATCACAGATAAATAAATACATATGTATATGCACATTTATATTTATTTTTTTCGTTCACAAATCTTATGTAAAACTACATCAAAATGCAATGACAAAGCGCTTCACGAATCAAAATCACGAGATTTTTGCCGAGGTTATAAAACACCTTCTAAAACATCTCATTCTGAATCAAGCTACCGTTTCAGATTCGTACTATAGTTTTGTCCTCTTCCAAACAAAGTCGGCGCGTTTTGGTCTCCGTTTTTCTGACTCTTTTCAGTTGAATTATTGAAAGATAGTTTTTTCTTTGGGCACATCGGCCAATGACATTAAATTTGTACGTCCCAGTTTAGCCAATTCCCACTTTTCCCATTCTGGCCAAAACGAGTGTAAGAAGTTTTTGTTTTAAAACCTATAATTTGCCTTAAAACTTTTAACAAAAACTATTATCAGAAAAATTTTTATTTGTTTTGTCACGTCACTGATCTTTTTTTATACTAAAAAAATTTTCTATATAAATTGCAATTTTTTTTTTTGCTATAATTGTTAATTTTTTTAGCTTTTCGAAAGGCAATTATTCAAGGACATTTATTTCCTTTTATACCGAAACCACAATATTATCGATACGCCGCCTATATGAAGGAGGAAATTAAAATAAATGTAAAAGTTAATAACATGACCTTCACAATATAATCAACTGCTTTAATAATATTGCAAAAACAAAGAGGCAAGTAAGTTGTACGAGTACATTGTTTAGCCAAAAAGACTTAAAATTGAAAAAGTATAAATAAATTGAATGTTTTTAGGTACTTATTCAAAATCTAATGTGTTGTCCCTATGGAATTCTTTATAAACGTGGGAATTATTATTGTTCGGAACAACATGAATATGATGTGCTGATTTTTGGATAAAAATTTGTAGGTAAAGCTACCGTCATGTTAACATGATTCGCTAGTTATGTATATAGGAAAGAAAAAAATTTTCTCAATTTCTATATAAACATCTCTGGTGTATTAATTAACACGTTAGGCACATATTTAAAATAACCATTTTTAATTGATGGAAGTGTACGTGTTTAAGGACAATAAGGATGACAAATTGTTGTTTTTAGCTGTCAAATATTGTGATTGTACATTGAGGGTGATATGAGAATATGGTGATGTTAGTATAAATAGAATTAAATGGATTGCAATGAATTTAAATGAATAGATTGAATTGGAGATATTTTAGCAGAAATTAATTTGCAATTAGATGAGAAAATTGTAAAGACAAAGATTTAGTTATTTACCAGGTTGAAAGTGAAAATACTTACGGGGTTCTTAGCGAGTGGGGCACAAAATTAGAAATAGGTAACTTCAAGGAAAAAGAGGAAAATGCAAGCAAATTCCTCAAATAATAAATAATTTACTGTAAAAAATGAATTGCAAACAGTTGCGGCAAAAAAATCAAATTTTAATAGAAAAATTTGCAATAAATCAAATTCCACAAAACAAAACGATAAACTTAGAGTTATAAAATCAAAAATGATCCCTCGAATCAATCCTTAAACCTTCTAATGAAAAAATCATTAAATTTAATCAGGAATCTTCAAGAAAAACTTTAAGGAAATTCCAACTCCAAACGTTGCAAAATTAAATTTAATTTGATTTTTTGGGTAATAAAATTTCCAGAGGGCGAACTTTCATAAAGGAAACAAGAGTCTCACTTTATTAATGAAAGAAAATGAAAAAATAATAAAAAATTCTTTAACGGGCTTAGTGCCCGTTATCTTAAATATCTTAAAAGAAAATCAAAATAAAATCTAATTCATTCCTGGGAACTAAAAGGAACTGGGAACTAAGAATCAAATCTCATGAGAAATTCAGAACTGAAATTAAAAGCTCAACTCATGTAACTTTGATAAGTAATTTGAAAGCGTTCTAATATTAGAAATAGATAATTTTGTATCGTACTCATTAGTATTGCACACTAATAATTGATAATTTTTATGTATCCTGTCCCTATTAAAATCTCTTCAAAAACTTAAATACATGGTTCCAAGTACATAGATTTAATTTTTTTAGTTTTTTCTAAATGCAAAGTAGGCACCTATTCGATTATTATCACAAATTCAAAGAAACATTTTTAAAAGTTCATTGAAAATTTTCGTAGTCAGCAAATTTAATGTAAGAATAAATTCCAAAAGGATAATGAAAATTCTCTTGATAAAGGATTTGGTTGAAAGTAAAAAATTTGAAATGAAGGTAGAAAAATCGAAGATGAGAAGACGTACAGGTAAAATTCGATTAAAAAGAAAATGAAAAATTTAAAATTAAAACCAAATCCAAAGAAATAAGAGTTTAACTTTTCTTTAATTTAATTTTCTTTTTTTTTAAGGCAAATCAAGTTCCGATGTATTTGAAATACTGTCAGCTGATAAAAAAGAAGAAAAAAATAGTAATGAATCAAGTAATGTACCAGCAAGTACCAAAAATGAATTTTACCAAACACCAAGTAATATTAGCCAATTTAGTCACATCTCTGAAAGTCCAGCTGAGTTAAAACGAGACATTGGAGATGAATTACAGAAAGAAGATTCAATTTTTAAAATTACAAGCGAACAAAAAAACTCAGAATCAGAAAATCGAAATATTCAAATGGAACCTGAAAGAAATGAAAATGAAAAACTTATTATGTTATATTTTAATCAAAATGAAATTAACTTAAACACTCCTAAACCTAAAAATGTGAAGGAGAAAATTAAAAAGAAAGAGTCGCTGAAAGTTAATTATATTAAAGAAAATATTCGTAAAACTAAAACATATATTGGAAGAAAAATACTAAAAAAGAATCCTGAACTACCACAAAATAGACAAAAATCAGGAAGTGACTGTAAACCAGTTAATAAAATAGTTTATAGAAGATCTGAGTTATTAAAGGATCCATTTGGAAGATATGGAGTAGAAAAGCAAAGTCTAATTGATAGAAAAAAAATGCATTTACAATATTTTAAGCCAGTTAAAGTTGAAGTTTCATCTGTTCACCCTACGGATCAATTATTACAAGAAAAGGTAATAGTTAAAGACGAAGAGAAACTCCCTGTAAAAGTGGCATTAAATGAAATTGAGCACGTTTTAAATAAAATAAAAGAAATACGGCTGGAAACGGTTAATATTTCAAGAGTACCGCTACCGAACGAGAAACGTTTTAATGACGTTACAAGACTTTTTTCTGAAGTTGAAAAAAATTTCAATCTGGTTTCGGATAAAATGCATGCTGAGATAATGCATGAAGGTTCAAAAAGGAAGATATCAATAAATCCTTTACTGAGTAAAAAAAAATCCAATAATTTCGTTAAAGAATTCAAAAGCTTTGGAAATGGTAAACTAATGTTAATCGTTTTTTCTTGATTAAGTTAATAATTTACAATATTTTTAGGTACTAGCAATAGTGTTCAAAAATGTATTTTTCAAAATCAAGTTGGTGATTGGCATAAAAATACTAATTGGAATGCTCTACTGCAAATGTCTGAACTAAAGGAATCGAATCGAAATTAATAAACTTTGAAAATCAAAAGATAATTTAAGGTGAATATTATTTTTCATAGAAAACTTTTTCAGTTGTGTAGATTAAATTTTTAGTTAAAAATTTCTAATTTATTTCTTTTAATTCTTCAAAACTGTTCAAAGCTATTTAAATTATAATTTAGTGTTATAAATTTTTAAAAATTTACTGTAAAATTTAAGAGTGAAAAATTTTTCTTATAAATACAATCATTTTCATTGTCAAGTATGCAGATGTTAAGCAATTGTCAAATATTTTTAAAATTTCTGTTATAATTTTATATTACTGAAAAACTTAAAAAAAAGTATATATATTTTTATTAAGAAATTTTAATTTTCACAAAATAAACTATTTGTTTATTTAAAATAATTTTCAAATTACAAAACACAAAAGAAAACAACAATTACAATGCTTGTATCGTTTATATTTAAAAATTATTTTTATAATTAAATTAAATGAAAAAATTTATTATGTCAAAGGCAAGAAAATTTTTCATTATCTCCATATTATGCACATACACTCATGTGCATGTACATAAAAAATATTTTTGTAACATTTGCCATTATTTTTAATATAAATTTATTTATATTAAAAATATTACGTATTTCAAAATTTTGTAAAATTGCTTGTGTACTATATGGCATATATGTATAATGTAATACATGTGTGGAAATAAACGATTGCATAATTTATATTATATTTTTAAATTTAATAAATGAATATGCTAAAAGCCCATAAATAGGCTTTATTTAATTTAAATTAGAAAAAAAATTACGTAAAACTGTTATAACTTAATTTAAAAATGAAATTGTTAAATTTGACCATAGCATAACATTGAGTGTAATTTTTATGCATAACGCAGTTATAGAAAGCGTCTAATTGGAAATGATTTCTACTCTAGCGAAGGTTTAACTATAATTAAACTTTTATGAATAGAGTCTTTTCATAGGCAACAGTATTATCATAGAGTTTAAGTAATGGATGTCGAGTATAGTTAGTAAACTTCACTTTAAGTATATCAACTCTTATCGTTTTTATGGATAAATTCTCATTTACGAACTAAAGTTTTGCTGAAAATCTTATTATTTTCATACAATATATATAGAGGATTATTCATTATTTATTAATAAATATTTTAATAATATCTAATAGCTTATTTTTAAACTAATCACATTCATTTGAATCTCCTGTATCCGTTTTTTTTTTTTAAATTTCAAATTCAACTCTAATCTAGATACCGTGACGTAGAAGTGAAATTTATATAATTGTTTTATTAATCTCTTTTAAGCAATTATGCAATTTTTATACATACAAAAATAATTTTATAATATAGAGAACAAATTATACATATAAAAAAATTTAATTTTCTCGTAAAAAGTTATTATTTTATAATATTAAACACTTCATTTTAAATGATAATTATTTTTAATAATAGACAATTTTTAAACTTTTAATTTTTTCTTGCTTTTCTTTTGACCAAAGTTCTTTAACCTTATCGTTAATATTGAAAATTATTATGTTTTTGCTTTCTTGCCAAGAAAATTGTAACATACAATAATTTATAAATATGATTACAATGTTCTTTATTGTAAAATTAATATTGAAAATACAATTACAGAAGTATAAGATGCAAGGTAGACAAACATATGCACGTAATACTTCATGTGTGCATGCAATTGGTACTTCATTTCCAATTAATATAAATGACCCAATAAAGAGCCTTGCCAAGAAAATAATATAACACCAACAACACAGTGTGAGAAAAAAGAAAAGAAAAAAAAAACAAAACAAAATTGGAAATAGATTTTGAAATTTGACTTAAAATAGATTTTGTTTTTAAAAATAGTTTTTTGACTAAAAAAACCAAAATTAATAAGTATCTAAAGTCACGTTGCTTTTTCTCGAGGAATCGAAACAGTCATCTAGAATGAATTTGCTAAAATCATCTTTGATACGGTTGTGGGAGGAGTCTATTCCAAACAAATTGGTGTGGAGATTTTCCAGACCACTGTACCGTTTTTTCATGACGCAGAGGTGGACGCAATAAACGGGGTTTTAAGATGGTTGGGGGGCAATGTGATGTTATGTAGGGCTAACAGCATTTTTACGAACAGTCAGATAAGATAAGGGCGTTAGAAACGGAGACGTCTACTTCTAGACGGTCCGGGA